CCTCAGTCCACTCCTTGTGAAGCTCCCCCTAATTCTTGCTGCTGCACCTTTTCCTACCACACTTTTTCCTTCCACTCAACTTTCTATGAATATGCTTGGATACAGCACTCTGTAAACAACCAGCTTCTTTAGCAATTAACTTTTGTGGCTTAACCCTCCTTCTGGACATCTGTCAAGTCAGCAGTCTTCCCCATGATTGTGTAGCCTACTGACCCAGACTGAGAGACCATTTAAAGGCTCAGGAAACCTTTGCAGGTGTTTTGAGGTAATTAGCTGGTTTGGGTGTGACACCATGACTTTCCAATATTGAACTTTTTCACAATATTCTAATTTTCTGAGACACTGAATTTGGGGTTTTCATTATCTGTAAGCCATAATCATCAAAATTTCAAGAAATAAAGGCTTGAAATATTTCACTCTATGTGTAACGAATCTATATAATATATGGGTTTCACGTTCTAAAATGAGTGACAAAACATATTGACCTTTTTCATGATATTCAAATTTTTTGAGATGTGCCTGTATATATATATAATTTTGCTTGCTTTGTCAAATAATTTGTTGTGTAATTCTATGCACTACTAAACCATGTACACTGAGCTGCTGCTATTTGTGAATTTATAAATGATATACTTATCTATAAATAAATCAGAAAACAAGGGAAGTTGTCTCAGCCATTTCAAATTACATAAAACCACAGCCAATGCATGGCATGTAATAGCTCATGAATATGTTTACTATCTCCATGTTACAAAATGTGGAGAGAAAAATTGCATTTGCAGAAATATCTCAGAGGTTAAAGGGATAGTTCACCCAAAAATGAAAAATCCTGTAACTATTTGCTCACAGTTATGTCATTCTTTTCTTTGCGTGGAACACAAAGAATAATATTTTTTTAAAAATGACAATTTTTGTCCATAAAATGGAGGTCAATATTGTTGTGGCCCCCATTTACATTAATATGGACATTCTTCAAAATATCTTTGTGTTTTGCAGAAGAAAGAAAGTCATACAGTTTTGGAACGACATGAGGATGAGTAAATAATGACTAATAGTGCTTGCGTTTCTGGGTGAACTTTTCCTTTAAAGTGCGTGTTGCTGCTCTTCTGACAGAATTACATGAGAAATATTCAAAAATATGCAGGCTTTGCTATTGCAAAAGGCAAAGAGACAATTTTCTCAAGAGTTTCTGCTGATTTGCACAACAAGCAGCACAGTCTGCCAAAACATCAGACTACGAAGTACAGCAAAGACCACCTGCAAAAATAATCACATGCATGCGATTGCATTACTTGGAGGTTTTATAAAGGACTGTTACTCTATCATACACAATTTTATTGTGTAATTTTAAGACTGTGAATGACAGCCTGTTTAATAATATGCTGGTGAGCTCGATGGTATGATGTTGCTCAGTCACGTGACGGGAGGTCAGTGGATCAGACAGCACGAGGAAACTCAATCAAGAGAAGGAATGTTGCCTAGCACCAGCCCCCCTCTGTGACATCATCATAAGACAGGAAGACCATGTTACATATGCAAACCTCTCTGCAAAAAACTCGAAAGTTTAGCTGAACATGTCCATTTTAATAAACACAAGAACTAAAATAAAGCACACTGTTTTATCAGTGTTTTATTCCCACCTGTTAAGGAAGGCATTGCCAAAGGCGTTGAGTTTCCGAAAGGGTTTTTTGGGATCCACTACCAGAGCGTTTCCTGGTATTAGTCCCTCCATGGTGCCGTGCATCACTGCTATGAAGGAGTCAGTTGTGGGTTCTGGACCAATCCGCATACCAGGGAAGTCCTGCTCCAGAAGATATCTATTTAAAAAAAAAATGCATGCACAAATGCATTTAGATGACTGAAAACACTTCTAATGGCGCTTATCATGTGTAAATTATGACAATTATATTGTTGATTTGAGAAAGTTTGGTTTTTTATTTAAAATCGTTTCAGTTAAAAAATACTGTGTATTCAATATATATGTAGCATTTAAAGTCCAAGAACACATGTTAAAAAAAAAGCTCCTTTTCTGCACTTTTTCTAATTTAATTAACTTTTTTAATTTTCAAAATAATTTTGTTGGAAATTTGAATAAAAAAATAAGTTAGTTATTTTAAAATAAAGAATCTTAAATGTCTTAATCGTTTTTTGTCATAATTTTTAGATTTGTCAAAAATTTTTAATTTTATAAACTTTTAGTTTATTTCCATGTTTACATAAAAGAAAATCCCTAAATTCCAATGTGTTCTCAGATGTTTGGAACATGTTTATCCACTCTTTGGTGTCCATCCCTGTAATGGAAGCCTCATGTATTGTATTCTTTTTTTTTTTTTTTTTAAAGAAATTAATACTTTTATGATTGATCAGAGGTGACAGTAAATATATTTATAAAGCAACAAAAATGTGCATTTCAAATAAATGTTGTTTTGACCTTTCTATTCGTCAACGAATCCTGAAAAAAATGTATCAGTTTCCACAAAAATCTTAAGCAAATTTTTTTTTTGATAAAAATAAATGTTTCTTGGGCACAAAATCAATATATTAGAATGATTTATGAATTTAGCTTGTAAGACTATGATTCAGATGAGTTCTACTGCTGTTAAAAGGAACAGTGCTAAGATCACACTCTAATGGAGAATGTGAGTTTGCTAAGATAATGTTTACTCTTCTCAGCACAGGGCCATTCAAACAGACCCTGCTGTGGACATGTGAATGCACTGAGACTGTTTGGAATACAGTGCAGGTAAAAATCAGTCTGAGTAACTACAGGACACTTGGCTTCAACTGAGAACTTATTAGCTGCAGTTTATGCCAGTAACACAAACGTGTAAACAGGACACTGGTGTCATTTATGATAGGATATTTTGCCATGGCCAATGTGTGACCTTGGACAACAAAACCAGTCATAAGGGTCAATTAAAAAAAAATTAATTAATTAATTTATGCAGAAAGCTGAATAAATGAGTTTTCCGTTGATGTATGGTTTGTTAGGATAGGACAATATTTGGCCGAGATACAACTATTTGAAAATCTGGAATCTGAGGGTGCAAAAAAAATCTAAATATTGAGAAAATCGCCTTTAAAGTTGTCCAGATGAAGTTCTTATCCATGCATATTATTAATCAAAAATTAAGTTTTGATATATTTACGGTAGGACATTTACAAAATATCTTCAAGGAACATGATCTTTACTTAATATCATAATGATTTTAGGCATAAAAGAAATATCAATAATTTTGACCCATACAATGTATTTTTAGCTATTGCTACAAATATACCCCTGCGACTTAAGACTGGTTTTGTGCTCCAGGGTCACATATATCTAATACAGAGGAAGTTATCTATTGCTTTTCTGTAACCCACTCTTACATTAATTCCAGTGATATAATAAAACAACATTAAAACAAATCTCTACCATTCAAACGTTCGGGATCAATAGTATTTAAAAAAAAGAAATTAATACTTTTATTCAGCAATAATGCATCAAATTGACCAAAAGTGACATTAAACACACTTATAAAGTACAAAAAAGATTTATATTTTTAAAAACAAACCTTCTATCCATTTTATTCAAGAACGCTAAAATAAATGTATCACAGTTTCCACAAAAATGTTGAACAACAGTTTTCAGCATTGATAATAATAAGCACCAAATCAGCATATTAGAATGATTTCTGAGGCAAGTTCATTTGAGCATTTGAATTGGTCAGCTAGAATGATTGCTCTCACATCTCACTGTGTTAAAAGTGCAATTCATTTTACATTGACAAAATTACTGGACATGAGCTTCTTCAGCTCTTTTTAAAACAAAGTGCAAAACAGTCATGAGCCAAGCTTTTGTATTAAGTGACCATGTTGAAAAGATTCAATGTTAAGCTTGAAACTACCCTGACATTATAATGAAGTGTTTCATGGGCTTTCTCACATTCAGGAAGCACACATAAAAAGCTGAGCTTATTTACTTTCGTAGTTATGTGTTCAGTCAGCAGAACAGCCACTGTGTCCACTGAGGCTCTCATGACTCTGATGAATAATGCACAGGAGGAAAGAGAGCCAGAGCGAAAATGAGGAGGCACATTTGTTATTGCCAGGACAACACCTCACTCTCACATTTAACACTCACCTCAACCAAAAACACTAATAAAGTAGACTCAAATGAAATGCTTGCTTAATGAAATTGCTAATATATCTACAACTTGGCAATGAATTCAGAATAATGTTCAGGTTAGTCTTAAAAATGTTGAAATGACCACATGAGTCCTTCTAAAAAGGATATCTGGTATGTCTCCATCTACATTTACATCTCTTAAAGGGGTCATATGATGCGATTTAAATTTTTCCTTTCTCTTTGGAGTGTTACAAGCTCTTGGTGCATAAAGAAGATCTGTAAAGTAGCAAAGACTAAAGTCTCAAATCCAAAGAGATATTCTTTATAAAAGTTAAGAGTCAACCATGCCTACCTAAAACGGCTCGTTCTAACACGCCCCCACATGTCTACGTCACGATGTGGGAAGATTTGCATAACGCCGCCCAAATGTTCACGCAAAGAAAGAAGGCGTAACTTTTATTAGCGCTGTAGTATTGTTGTTGCCGCCGCCGCCATGTCGTGAAGGTGCTGGTTGCTGAGGAAATACATCAACTTCACGCTGTGGATCGCCGGATCGAAGTGGACGAAGCGGAGTCCAGCCCGGGGTTGTCACAAATGGTTTCCGCAAGCCCGCCCGCTCACTCTAGGCCTCCGGCCTCCTCTCACTCTAGTCCGCAGTGTGTGATGCTGTTTCTCGTTGTGAAAGCAAAACTACTTTGTTTGCCTCGTTTATAATGGGTTTTAATGTTTTTGTCTCGTTGCTCCAGCCGGGACAAGGCATCACAGTATGGTAAGGGGATTAACATTTCCGTCACACGCTTGAGGTATTCGGCCAATCACAATGCACTGGATAGCTGGCCAATCAGAGCACACCTCGCTTTTCAGACCGATGAGCTTTGTAAAAATCGACACGTTTCAGAAAGGCGGGGCATAGAGGAGAAACAATAATGTACAGTATGTGGAAAATAATGTGTTTTTTGAACCTTAAACCACATAAACACATTTCATTACACCAAATACACAAAATAATGTTCTTTTTAGCAACATCATATGACCCCTTTAACTTTTCTACATTCTGGAACCTATTAGTGACAAGTTACTATGGCAATTCTTGAGTCGTTGGAAGTGTCTCTCGTTGCCTGGTGATCTTTAGCAGTCTGTTGCCTTTAATCTTGATCCACTGTAGACCCGTAAACCTCAAATCACCCAGCAGACAACCATCACACCACAGCAGCGACATTGTGTCATACAGATACATCTTAGAGCTGGAGCCAGGCCTGGTCTGTTTACAAGGTAACCGTCTCTGTCAAAGCTAAAATTATAGTATTAAGAACTTTGTTTAGCATGTAACATCAAGATCTGTATTCAATGAACACAGAAATGAGGTTCTCATGTAAACAGATTAATGATATCTGTAGCACAGAAGTCATGAAATATTTTGGCTGAAACTTCTCGTCAATTACTTTTTAATCTATTTACATGCTTCTCAAACAGATTAATCAGTCTTGCATTGAAAAAGCTTTTGTAAAGTTACACATGTGTTCTCTCAATATAAATAAGTCCTCATGGTGAACTGACAAGGAGGCATTAACAATCCTATAGGATTGTGAGGAATCTCACATGGAACTTGCAAAACTGTTTTTTAGGTGTTACAAATGTGATTGCTACAGTTATTCAGATATACAACATACTGAAGAGGCTGTGTTTGACATGACTATATCAATAAATCATAAACAGGAGAATATTGTGAGATTTTATTGAAATGCTCTATTGTTGAGAGCTTCTCATAGTCTTATTACTATTATTATTATGTTATAACGTATTATCATCAATAACATGAATAAATATTACATTAAATACTACTTAAATATAATTACTTAATGCACGCTAAAATAGTTAGAAATGATAAAAAGTACTATATAAGGCGAATATATATTTGTGTGTGTGTGTGTGTATATATATATATATATATATATTACATACAACAAGTATGATGCATTATATAATGTTTCTGCATGTAATGTATAATTTAAATATAATAAAGTGCTTAATTATAAAGTTTCCTGACTGGCGTCTTTAAAGGGCTCAGGACACCAGAAATGGTTTTACAGGAGCCAAAACTCCCATCTTACCTTATGAAGCTCGTTTTGCCAGTGGAATACTGTCCCACCAGGAGAACCATTGGCTTATTGTCAAAATCTGCATCCTCCAAAGCGGGCGAGTGAAACTCGTGGAATTTGTAGTGCTCCTCCAGTGGAAGCAGTTTGGTTTTGTAAAGCTTCTTGAGTCCTTCACTGACAGTCTGGAAGACCTCTGGATCTTTCTTCCTCCTGTCATCGGTACCCAACCAGCTGAACATGATGCAACTCGAGTATAGGCAACCGTAGACGATATATCTGTTTTTTTTCTTGTATAATTATTTCACAATATGCGCAAACGAGCCGAAGACCTATTCAAATGAATGGATTTGTACTGACGTCGATGTATTTTAAGAGTCCATTGAAACTGTTCCCTTGTCTCTAGGCCACTCACGACACAAAACGCACAAATGACTAGACCATAATTACAAAATATGATGCATTATATAATATTCTGCTTATATGTTACGGTCGAAAACATGGCCAAACATGCTGCCTTTCATTCAGACTTTGTTGGAATAAAAGCGCGCGCCGCTAGAAGCTACAATGTACTACTGAGCAAATGCAAGAGATACAATTTCTATTATGAAAGAAAAGAGAAAAGAAAACGAAATCCTCCAGTAGAGCAGATTCACTCACGATGACAGGCGTTCACAGGCTTCCCACTGCAGCAGATTTAAATGCCAGTGCGCTGGAGAAACCCGACACTAGAGGAAATGCCCCACTGGCAAAGCCCCACCCAGAACACAAGAGCTCCAGTCAGGGATGCAGCGCCATTGTAGCGGATGGTGATGGTTGGTACCGCTGCTGCTCAGGTTTTCTTCCAGAGATTCTCATCTGCATCAGTAAAATGACTGGTGCATAAAAACATACTTCAAGAATGTTAATGTTAATTTTAATAATATAATATAATATAATATAATGCCCCAGCATCCCCACGACCCTATAGGACATGTGATTTAGAAAATGTATGGATAATAATATAATATAATAAATATAATATAATATAACAATTTAATATAACGATATTACAGTGTAATATTAGTTTACACTAAATACATGTACCTATAATACATTTAAAACAATCTCATTAACAAATGATCTGTAAGAAAAAATGCATTCTTTTTTAGAATTAGATAAATTTTAATCAATTACTGTAGAACATCTCCTACAATATAAGTTAAAAAAAAAGGCAAAAATATATCATATATATTTGCGTATTTAATGTATAAAAATTTACCTAAACCAAGTGTGGTTGGAAATGTTCACCTAGTGGCAAGCCTTTGTAGAACAATAAACTTGATAATGAAGCATGCTAAAAAAAAAAAGAGGGGGGGGGGGGGGGGGGGGGTTATTATATTATAGTCTGAATTAAATTATATCTAGCCTGCATACTGTATATAATGGTATGTTCAGTTTAGTGTTGATTGTTATAACTTATTTAGTGAAGAAAGACTGAGGTGGGCCGAAAGTATGGGATCAGAATCCCGCCTAAAGTATTGCAGTCACGGATAAAAAAAGAACAAGGATGAAAACAAAATTTAAAAACGCAAGTAAAAAATATATTGCACAAGATTTAAAAATGAAAGCAAAGTTTTCAGAATTGCAAACAATGGTCACGGATTAAACAATAATAAGCGTAAATCAAAAAATTTATAACGCATTTTTTTAAATAACAAGCATGAATCAAAACTTTAAACACGTTTTAAAATCATATTGCACAAATTTTAAATATTAATGCAAAATTGTCTGAATTGCGCACAAAATCGTGTTTTCCTTGGTTATACTGAAAGATAAGTCTGCAGGCAATATTCAGCATAGTGGGAGGGTACTATTTACACTACTTCAGAGCAGTCGAAGAGGATTCAGTAAATATTTTTTATATTTAAATGATATTTCCACAATGACGAAACCTTGTGTAAATGATTTTTGGGGGGCATTTTTGGTCGCTTTAAAAACGTAAATGGATTAAATCAAGAAAATAGAAAGCAAGTCATTTTATCAATTCATGTTTCATTTCCAGCAAATATTAAAGGGGTCATATGATGCTATTTTAAAGATCATTATTTTGTGTATTTGGTGTAACAGAATATGTTGACATGCTTTAATGTTCAAAAAACACATTATTTTTCAAATACTGTACATTATTGTAGG